GAAATGTATTGTTTTGGATACTTATAATGGAAGTTTATATCCTCTTTATTTATGGGTGAGTTGGGTAGAAAGAAATCCAGCAGGCTTTCTCGCCGGGTCATCTCGATTGAGCGCCGGTCGCGCTCCCCGAGTTTGGGGCGTGACAGTCGTAGCTCCGGTGGGAGTTGGGTTGTGACGCCTATATTGCCCTTATTGGTATCTATTTTCTATTATCGACCCACCTATTAGTTCATAACCACCCTCTAGTTGCTTGTCTTACTACGTTTGCTCAACCTCCATTTTCTCTTCTTCTTCTTTTGTTTGTATTTTTTTGTTATGATTGAGTATTTCGTGTTTTAGGATGGTGTGAAGCTTTTGTTTTCAAGTATGCTGCATCTTAACTTAGCCGCACGCTTCAAAATATACACCCTCGGGAGATTAGCCTCTACACACGATACATTCCTCTACCAATTTACAATTGACAACAATACCCCCAACTTAGGCTTTAAGCCTCATTCATAACATTCAAGGAGGGACGGGTTCAAAAGAGGGAGTAATTTCACAAAAGGGGTAAAAGTTTATAATGTGGTAGCCAAAGAAAAGGTTAAAGGCTCAAGGGGGGACAACTGGGGTAATAGATGCACAAGGAAGGTCAATTTTGCTATGAGTTAATTAGCAATCACAAAGAAAGCCTAAGATAATTTCAACAACCAAACACCAACCTAAGATTTGCATTGAGGAACCAACCGGGCAAGTTCTAGATAGTACGAGTAAAGCACATGCATTATTCACAGATTCTCACCACTCATGACGCATGAAATATTAGAATCGGCATATTTTTAGCCCTCAAATAATACAAGGCAATACAAAGCTTCATCACATGGTATTGAGATTCTAGTAAACTCAAAGTCAAAGAACAAGCCTCAATTTCACAAAAATGACTATTTATTAACAAAAGTTAAAGGGTAGAATTTATTTCACAAAATAATTTATCACATGCTTGAATCTAGAACAAAAACATCAAACAAGTCAAAATTACTACGGTCGTGGTTCTACTATTACACCCGTGGAAAAGAACCGACAAAGAAAAATCAAGGGGAATTCATTACTATCTATACATCTACATTCTCAAGACTACTATCTATGTACAATTTGCAAAAGTTTTCTTGCTACCCCACCCACAACATAGAAGCATGCATTTTCCCCAATGCATTGAAAAATTAAGAGCAAAGTTTAGGTGTTTCCTGGAGCACACAAAGCGCTTGGCATGGATGGACTGTCTGATATGGTCGTGGGGCAGGGAGCTGAAACTGGGGAGACAGTAGGGTGAACCTCGGGCTGGACAGTGGTGTCCGAGACCAAAGTAGTGGGCTCCGCAAGATGCGGAGCCGGGTCCTGGAACTAGGAACTGCTAGCCTCACCTAGTGATAGCTCTGTGGTAGTGGTGGTAGCCATGTCCTTAAGTGACTGGGCAATGGCCATTTGTACATCTGCCTCCTCATCATCCATGTCCTCTGTAGAGGAAACCTATTTACCTTTTTCTAGCATCTGGTCATTGACCTCCTCAATAACTTATTCTTCGTCTGTTTCCTCACGAGACTCTACTGATTCCTCATCCAAAAAGCCATCAGTGTGTGCAGCAAAGTCCAAAGCCTATGAGGTGCTAGTACCATGTTCCTCCTCTAATGAGAGGAGGTTTGTGAAGTCCAAATCAAGGTTCAGTGCTTGGGATGTGCCATCTCCATGCTCCTCCTCTACCGGGAGAAGGGTTGTGAGGTCAAACTCCAAGGTTTGCATCTTATGTATCTCCAACTTAAGCTCAGAAACATCCTCTTTGAGTTGAGCCATGTTCCCATATCCACGTAGCTCAACCTTCTCAAGGAGAGCTTTGATGTTCTATAGTCGATCTTCATAAGATAGATGTTTCTTTTGAAGAACACTCATTGAGGCTTGGAGTGGTGCTAATGATTGCCTGATGAGCAGTGGAAGATCTTTCACAAGCTTTTGTACTTTGGCATTAGTGTTCTATGCAGTACACCAATCTTGGAAATGGCAGGTAGTGAAAAGTGTGGTGTAGGAGTGGCCGGCCTGGGTGTGATGTTGTGGCTGGCCTAGGATTCGAGGTGAAGGTGGCAGGTGTTGACGAGGTGGCATGAGCTACTGAAGTAGATGAGACCAGTGGGAGGGTGACTGGTGGCTCTGCGAGCATATTCTCTAAACCAGTGAAGGGTGTTTGGGAGCTAGTAATGTCAATATCATGAGTGGCCTCTACCCTGCGGTCATATTTGGGAATTGGGGGAACCTCTAGATCTTCACACAAAGCAGTGATGAGGCACAAAAAACGGAGCAAAGTTTTCCTTGGTTTTCCCCGATGCCAATATCAGGGAATAGGAGCTTCCCTACATCAGTCTTGAAACCCGACATGATTGAAGAAATTAGGATCGCCTTGTCTAGACTGATGTCGGTTTTATTTCTTGTTGGCTGTAGGCGAGAATAACTAAAACTTAGCCAATACCGACTTTCTTGGATGAGATCTTTCTTTAAATTTTCCGGCTCAGTTCAATCCAGGATGCAGTCCCCTGTGCTATGAAAGACGCTACCCATGCACACTCATCTTTCTTTATGACATTTTTGCGTCGTATTCTGCCGTGCCGCCTTCACACTCCTCGAAATAGAGTTCATTGATTGATTTTGGGCCACAAGTTATCGCAATCCCTCGGACTTTAACTGATGTCAAGTAAGCATGGCTCTTTGCTTGTTTTTTAGTAATTGAAGCATCACAAGCAACATAGAATTCCATAACAAGTACCTAGTTGCATTCCCCCTTGAATCTTAGTAAAGAACTCTTGTTCCCTCTTCTTGATGTTTTCCAGTATGTGGGCGTAGTTCTCCTTAAGTCCGTTCATAATTACCCTCTTCTCTTTGAGGATGTTCCTGTGTCCCAATACGTCTTTGTATTTATTCCAGGATCCGAAAATACTAAACCTAAGTGTATCTTAAACATTCTTCCTTCGTATTTCTACTCGGGGATCAATTGGTGACACTGGGTCTTGTTGTGCCCTCTCCTCTGCAGACTGGGAGAAGGACTCGGATGAAGTGATATATGTGCAAGGCTTTTTGCGTTGGTACTGCATTGATGTTGGATATGTAACTCTAGCCCGTTTCTTTCCTCTTGTGGTGGGTGTTGTAGATGGTTGTGCTTTCTTGGGGGTCATACCTGTCAATGTAAGGTAAGTAAGCATATGGTAGAAACCCTCAAGGAAAATGACAAAGAATTGTAGGGGAAAACATATTCTATGGACTGCATATCCGGTCACAGAACAGTAACAACTTTGAATGGGCCAGACCATTTGGTCTTGAGTTTGCCGGGAAAGAACTTCAACCTTGAGTTGAATAGTAAGACCAAGTCATTGGATTTGAATTCCCGCTTCAACATCTTCTTATTATGCACAGACTTCATCCATTTTTTGTACATGATTGCATTCTCATAGGCTTGGAAACATAGCTCATCCATCTCATTGAGTTGTGTCATCCTTAGATTAGCAGCTTCGGCCCAGTCAAGATTTAACTTTTTCAATGCCCACTTGGCTTTGTGTTCTAGATCCACTGACAAGTGACATGCCTTACAAAAAAAACCAACTGGTAAGGCGAGGTTCCAATGGGTGTTTTGAATGCATTCCAGTAATCCCATAGAGCGTTATCTAGCTTTCTTGACCAATCGGGCCGGTTTGCATTAACATTATTTGCTAGAATTTTCTTGATTTCTCGGTTAGAGACTTCAACTTGACCACTTAATTGAGGATGATAAGGGGTGGCACCTTGTTCTTAACTCCATATTTCTCGAGCAACCTCGCAAAGGCTTTGTTACAGAAGTGATAACCTCCATCACTAAGGATGGCCCTTGGGGTTCCAAACTGAGTAAATATATTCTTCTTCAAGAATGCGGTTACATTCCTTGCCTTATTGTTTGGCAAGGCAACTTCTTTGACCCATTTTGAGACATAGTCCACTGCTATCACGATATACGTCATGCCATATGATCTCACAAAGGGACCCATGAAATCGATTCCCCACACATTTTTATCTCTACCTCCATCACAAAATCCATAGGCATCTCATGTCTTCTAGAAATTGACCCTTGTTTTTGACATTGATCACATGCCTTGATCATTTGATTTGCATCTTGGTGTATCGACGGCCAATAGTAACAACATTCAAGCACTTTCCCCACCATACGGTTTCCACCGTGGTGACCCCCAACTGGAGAGACATGACATGCTTTGAGAATCGGCATCACCTCATCTTTCGGAATACAATGCCGAATGATGTTGTCGGTGCATATCCAGAATAAAAAGGGTTCCTCTCAATAGTATTGCCTACAATACCTCAAGAACTTTTTCTTTTGATAAGCTTCCAATTCGTCGGGGATAAGGCCACTAACTAAAAAGTTAGCTATATCAGCATACCAAGGAGTTGAAGTTCTAGATATTGCCAAAGGTTGTTCATCTGCAAAGGCATAATTGATTTCAAGATCTCCCTTTGGTCTCCATGCCTCTTCAAGCCTAGATAAGTGATTTGCGACTTAATTTTCTGTTCCTTTCCGATCTTTGACTTCAAAGTCAAATTCTTCTAACAAAAGGACCCACATAATCCATCGCGGTTAGACATCCTTCTTCGCCATAAGGTAGCGGAGAGCAGCATGATCGGTAAAGACTATCATCTTGGATCCCAACAAATAGGCCGAGAAGTTTTCAAAATCATAGACAATGGCAAGCAATTCCTACTCAGTCACTGTGTAATTCATTTGCACGTCATGAGTGTCTTGCTTGCATAATAGACATTGTGTAAAATCTTTTTGTGCCTTTGACCAAGCACCGTCCCAATAGCCATACTAGCATCACACATAAGCCCAAATGGGAGAGACCAATCGGGTGTGACAATAATAGGTGCCATGGGGAGCTTTGGTTTCAAGCCCTCAAAAGCTTTGAGGCACTTCTCATCGAATCCAAATTTAGCCTCCTTTACAAGGATGTTGCAGATGGGACTCGCAATCTTTGAGAAGTCTTTGATAAATTGCCGATAGAAATCGGCATGCTCCAAAAGCTTCGAACACCTTTAACCAAAGTGGGAGGAGGAAGCTTGGAAATAACTTTAGTTTTTGGTCGATCAACCTCAATGCCTTTCTTGGAGATTTTTTGGCCAAGAAAAATACCTTCGTCCACCATGAAGTGACATTTATCCCAATTGAGCACAAGGTTGGTCTCCTTGCATCTTTTGAGTACTTGCCTAAGATTATTAAGGAAACTTTCAAATGAATTACCAACTACCGAGAAGTCATCCGTGAATACCTCCAAGAAAACCTCCACCATGTCCAAGAAATCGACATCATGCACCATTGAAAGATAATCGGGGAATTGCATAGCCCAAATGGCATCCGGCTAAAAGCAAAGGTCCCATAAGGACATGTGAATGTCGTCTTCTCTTTGGTCCTCCAAGGCTATGTTGATTTGGTTTTAGATGGAGTAACCATCCAAGAAACAATAAAACGACCTTCCCACTAGCCGGTCAAGCATTTGATCAATAAAAGACCTAGGAAAATGGTCTTTGCATGTGGCACTATTGAGCTTCTGGTAGTCCATGCAAACTCTCCGTCTGGTCACCTTCCGTGTTGGAATGAGTTTATTTTTGTCATTTCGAATAACGGTCATGCCTCTCTTCTTTGGCACACATTGCACCGGACTCACCTAAGGACTATCTACAATGGGATAAACAACCCCGGCATCCAACCATTTTATAATTTTTTTCTTAACTACTTCTTGCATGGAGGGATTCAACCTCCTTTGATGCTCCACACTAGGTTTGCTATCTTCCTCAAGTTCGATTTAGTGCATACAAATACTGGCGGGAATCCCTCAGATATCCGCTATCGTCCAACCAATGGAACGTCTATGCTCCCTCAAGGTCTCCAATAATTACTGAACCCGCACATTATTTGACAAAGAAGAAAAACATTACCAGTAGAGTTTCATTAGAGACAAAATATTTATAACTTAAGTATGGTGGTAGTGGCTTGAGTTCATGTTATGAAGGCTCAATGATTGAAGGCTTGGTGGGAGGAGTGGCTCAATTCTCCAAGTCAAGAGAAAGTTTCTTTAATTCATAAGTGTAAAACCAAACCATTCCAATGCATTCACCGTCTCCACATATCCTTCTATGTTCTCACCATCAAAACTCATCAAGATCGCTGACAATGCCTCACCAAGGCATTTATCTTTCATCTTTACCTCAACGGTATCTTCTACCACATCAATAACATCAAGTAGCGAGATACTCTTGTATGCATTTGGCAATTTAATCTCATTTCTTTTCGAGTCCATAAGTGCTCTCCCGGTTGCAAGAATGGTCTCCTTAATATGATCGGGATCTCTTTATCAACTGCACAATCAAGAATAATGAAGTCGGCGGGGAGGAGAAACATCTCCACTTTTACAAGCACATCATCCACTATCCCTACCGGTCGCTTCACCAAACGGTCGGCCATTTGCAACCTCATACTCATAGGCCTAGCATTATGCTTGTACACAGAAAGAGGCATTAAGTTTTTGCTAGCCCCATTATCCCAAATAGCTCATGCAAAGTCACGTAATCCAATAGTGCATTGAATGGTGAAAGCCATCGGATCCTCTTTCTTTTGGACGGCGGTTGCTGAAATGATGGAGCTAATCCGATGGATGACACTCATCGATTCATTCTTGATGGTCTTTTTTTCGTTATCAAATCCTTCAAGTATTTAGCAAAATCGGGCATCTCTTGAAACGCTTCCACAAACTGAATGTTCACCGATAATTTCTTTAAGATGTCATAAAACTTCTCGAATTTTCTATCATCAACTCTTTTGGCCAATCTTTGAGGAAATGGAGCGGGATGTCTAGGAATCGGTGCTAGAGGTTTTGCTGACTCTATTACGTTTTCCTCAACCTTGTCATGGCTCACATCTTGAGCCTTCACCTTCTTCGGAATTCTTTCAACTTCAAAAACATATGGAACCTCAATTTGTGCCTCATCTTCTTGTTCAACATCTTCCACATCGACTACCCGTTCAATCTCACTTTGAATTAGTTTCCCACTTTGAGTTGTAATGCCCATACAATGAGAGGTTGGGCCATCCTCACTACCCTTTGGGTTCAAAATTGCATCACTTGGCAGTGTACCTTTTTGTTTTGGGGTTTATTTTCTTGAGAGATCCCTCATTTGAACCTCCATCTTTTGAATATATGCGGTGTGAGAACCCACAAGCTCGGTCATATTTTTCATTGAAGTGTCGGACCTCTCTTGATTTTACAATACTCTTTCAAGCATGTTCTCCAATTTGGAATTGCTTGAAGAACTCTCCCTCCAATGTTGAGAGTTAGAGTATTACTCCTTTAATGGAACATAGTTGTTTGAACCTCGATTCGCTAAATTATAATTGTTTTTGCTCTAATTTCCTTGATTAGAAATACCTTGGTCATTTTTTCATTGTTGGTTACCTTGCCCTTGCGGGTTATGTCTCCATTGATGTTGTTGTCCCAACCCTTGGTAGTTTTGTCTTTGATATCCTCCTTGTGAATTCTGAACATAGTTTACTTCTTCATATTGCATTAGAGGATAGTATTGATGTTGGCCTTCTTGATGTTGATAGTTCGCATTTGATATTGGTTTTACTTCTTCCACGACATTCACTTTTTTTGTTTGGCTTTCCGTGAACATTTTTGTCAAAATATTGACATTGGTAGCAAGCCCGTCAATCAACTGATCTCTTTCTTGATTTTCCTTGACAATGCTTGTCAAAGTAGGGGTACCATATTAGACTCCACCGCGGTACCGCCTGAATGACAAGCTTGTTTGTGTTGGGATACCTTGTCGAGGAATTGAGTGACTCTTGCAAACATTTTGTCCATGAACAATCCATTAGACGCATTGTTGGCTACAGATTGTTCATAGGATCCAAACCCATGTAAAACTTCTCCAACAAAATATTTTCCGAAAACCCATAATTCGGTGATCTCACCAAATACTGCTTGAATCTAACTCATGCTTTATGTAGTTGTTCCCCTGGTAATTTCTTGAAGAAGAAGTTTTTTTTCAGAAGTTCGGACTTCTTACTTTGTGGGAACCATTGCCCTAGGAAAACATACACAAGTTCGGCCCAAGTGTGGATGGAGTGAGGAGGTAGACTGTGCACCCCACACCTAAATGAAGCCTGGTAAGTGTAGCTTCTAGCGTGGCCAATCAACTGGCGACGCGTTTGAGGCTAGAAGGTGGTTACACGTTTTAGTAAGCCTGTGACAAATTTCCCACCGGGCACTGTCACCGGGTTGAGGCAACCCATTTTGCATGTGGATCCGACGGTATTTTCTATGCTTGGTATACATATAAAAAGGCAGTGAGGCTCATTCTCCTTCATTTTTTCCCAGGCAATACCATTCACTATTATTCACCAAAAATGCTCTCACATCTCCTTTGAGGTTTCGAAATAGGCTAAACTGGATCAGAAAATGGTTCTATTAGGTTTTAGCTTGCAAAAACATTGAAATCGCTGTCGTAACATCCATTATCTGGTAGTATTGACTAGAAAGATTTGTTAGAGGCAAAGCTAATCACCATAGAAGCATAGTTATTTCTTCAACAAGGTATGTGAGGCAACCTTCTTTATTGGCATGAATTAGTGTAAGTCTCTCCTTCCTTCCAAACAACTCATGTACTGTAAGGTTTGGTAGTACTAAGCCCTCTCACGATGTTGCTCTATTCTTGTACATTCTTGCTGGTAGTACTTCTTTCAAGTCCAAAATGTTCCCAGTTGGTATCCCGAGGTTGGGAAGTATGATTGTTGTTGAGTCTAAACTTTATATTTCTTCAAGTTTATTCTGCGTTTCAGTTACATATATATATATATACATAGATCTATTGTACTTTATCGAGTCGCGCTATAGTCGGCCGGTTACGGCACCTATTGTGCAACCACTGATCAGTTGGGTATGGTGTGAAATGATACCGAGCCCTTTTGTGGCCGGGTATGACTGAGCCCTAGAGTGGCCGAGTATGACTGAGGTATCTATGAGGCCGGGTACGAGATAATGCAAGATAAGACTGTTACACTCTGTGCATCCCAAGGTGACGTAGAATGAATATGAGACTGGTTAATCATTATTTAAATGAGTGTAAAGTCATAATATTACTATATATGATATTTGAATTTAAAATAAAAAGTTTGAAAAAAATCGGATTTAAGTTGCGGAAAAACCAACTAAGGATTTGCCTTGTAACGAAGTTTTTTAAGAAATACATTTAGTATATTATATGAGGTCTTTCTGGGACATATTATATACCATATTGAAGGACTTGGAAAGTTGTCTCCAACACTCTTAACCGTTAATTCATACAACATCAGGATAAAAAGATATAAGCGTGTGAAGATGGGCCAATGCTAGGGTGCCAAGCTAGCACCTCTTTGACTTTTTAAAAGTGGATATATATATATATATATATATGTATGTATGTATGCCTTAATCCTTCTTTTTCTTCATTTTTCCATAGACCACAAATAGAGGATACCCATAAACTTATCCTTCAGCTTTATTCAAGGGTTTCAAAAAAGATTATCATATCGGGTACGAAATCAAGAAGCGATAACATTAGAACGATCCCTACGACATAAGTATCATTATACCACCTCATGTTTTCTTTGTAGTTTGAATTTTGGAAGGTAATTCATAGTTACGAAAATGCCTACTTGCTGTATGTAAGCTTTTAAATCTCAAGGAATGTTGATAAATTCATTTCCTAATAGTTAGAACTCATGGGACGGTGATCGGAAGCCATGAGTACGATTTATTCCACTTGTCATGGAATGTTTTTTAGTCCACTCATGTTGGACCCTTGTGCTGCTGATTTATGGCATTTTGAAGGATAAAGGGCGTGGAGAAATGCCACATGTGGTAGGATAGTGGGCTGGTCGCTCGTCGTTGCAATTTCAGGCTAATTGAAACATTGTCGATTGGGTGTGTTATGGTATAATTGGGCTTTTTGTTGTATTAAAGGTCTTGAATTGTAGTTAGGTTGTTTTTGAGTTGCCGATTGTATTGTGTTGTTGTCTCGCCTATAGTAGGCTTGAGGAAGCAGTAAAATCAGGAGAAATGCTGCCCGTTTTTGTTACAGATTAAGTTACTTTCGTTATATAAATGAGAGTCTCATTCGTAGCTTGACAATAGCTTCAATGTCATTGTTGTAGATTAAGGTGCAGTGAGTTGAGTTTAGCATTTTTATTGGACAGATTTCTATAAGGTATGTTAAGGCTATCCCTTCTTTTCTTTTGGCATGATCCATATGATACAACAAAACGAGCAAACATGCAACTTTCACAGATGGCTATATTCTTAGAAGTACTAGGGTTGCCTATGTTATTGATTTTCCATATGTCCTATTATTATATCGTCTGTTCATGAGTCTCAGAAAATACGTAAGCTGATAAAGTTTGTTTCGTGATATTAACCGAAGGCATGTTGATCTTATGACATCCCGAGAGATCATATTGACTTACTTCTTATGCATTGCATTCATTTATACATGTACATTGACCCATGACCAGATGGCGTTATATACGCGTATATTATATATATATGGTGGGGAAAGGTTACAGCGTTATATACGCACCACCACCTGATCAGTTGGTATACGTTGATTATTTCGCCCACTGAGGCCGAGATGATATGATGGGATGCCCTCAGAGGCTTGATGATATTATCTACGCATATACCTATGCATGATATAATATTTATATGCATATGCATGACATTATAAACGTTTCATGATTCACAGAGCAATTCAAACTTACAGGCTGAGTCCTTTACTCCATGTTTCTTTCATGTCTTTTATATACTGATATTTATGCCTTACATACTCGGTACATTATTCGTATTGACGCCCCTATTGCCTGGGGGCGTGCATTTTATGCCCGCAGGTGTAGGTAGATAGGCTGACGGTCCCCCTTCTTACGATCCTTGCTTAGTGAGAGTTGGTGTGCTCCATTTGATCTGGTACTGCTATTGGGTTTTTGTACAATATTTTTTTTATATACATATATGGGTATGATGGGGTCCAGTACCGTCCTTTATATAGTTGTACACTTTATTTGAGGTCTGTATATAGTCATGTATAGTTGGATAATATGTGGACTGTTGGCTTCTATTTTGATATATAGTTGTCCGTAGTAGCCTTGTCGGCTCGCCCTACCGTATTCCGCATATATATATATATATATATATATATATGTTTATATGTTTATATGTCTTTTTGGCAAATTTTCTTGCGTATGTTTTTCATATGATTCAGCAGTTTA